TTAGTAACCCTCTAGCTTGAGCCACTCTTGAGTCTTATATTCTTAGTAAAAAAGTTTATGGGCGTTGGATTTCCGGTTCCTTCTAAATTCTGCTTCAACTCAACACTTCCAACGTTTCCGCCTGAACTCAAATTTTTTTAGTATTCTTTTTTATTTATTTATATTTTATTTTAATTATTTTTCCACAATAGAAATAGATATCGTCCGGTTTACTCACTTCTATGTCTTTTGAAGAGAATTAGAGGTTTATCCCTTGTTTCCTGTTTAGGATTGTGTTTCTGGTGCCTTCTAAATTCTACTCCAACTCTATACTTCTAAAGTCTCCGCCTAAGCTCTGAAATTTCATTTACTATTAGTGACTTTCCGGCTCCTTCTAAAGTCGTTTCTCTTTCACCTTGCGTCTTAGTGGCGTTGTCACCTTACTAGGGGTAAATTGATTAAAAACAAACTCAGCGAATGGGCGCCAAATTGCACGTGTTTCGTAAATCTTAGTGTGGGGATAATGGTTTTCCTTTTGTCAATGTGGTGTTCATGGAGTTCGTGAAGAAGAACCACATCAAACATATCATCTCCTGAGCAGAAATGGACGCTTAAACATTAAAAAAATGACATGAAAGTATTGTCAAAGGACGACCTCGATAGTTTATTATTCGATGTAAATTGGATATTTCAGAGCAAATTCTAATGAATCGGAATTTACTTATTCGGTTGGATGCTGTATTTCAGATTTTTAAAAAAGCCATATCTGCAGTCTCGTATCCGAAACATAAAAACAATTTCTAAAAAACTCATAGATTTTAGTTTTTTATCCGATATATTTTTATTACTTCAAACGTTAATTTTTACAGCATACTCGTATTTGAGTAGACGTTCCGTTTTTTAAACAGGGTTTATTTCGTCTACCAGCCTACGCGCCCAGAAAAAAACTTTAAAATATATACAATAACCTATATCAAATATTATTACACGAGTAATATTTTCACAATAAAATTAGTATTAATCCATGCTAATAAAATAATCACGATATATGTATAACATGTGGGTTTCATTATCAACTAAATATTGATAACACTTTTGACTTCGTGAATTGGTGAAAAAGAACCACATCAAACATATCAGTTTTCAAATAAAGGTAAGCATTTTTATTTATAAATAATTACAAAAGATATACAGTGGGGAAAGTAAATATTTCATCCCCTGCTGATTTTCTGAGTTTGCCACCTTACAAAAATAGGAATGGTCTATAATTTTCAGGGTAGGTCCATCTTAAAAGTGAGAGATAGAATATTAAAAATATTCTAGAAAATCACATTATATTAATTTTTACACATTTATTTGTTTTTTATTGGAAAAATAAATATTTCAACCACTACCAACAAGCAATGATTCAGGTCCTACAGTTATTCGGTTATGTGACCAGGGGGCATATAGACTAGTCCTATTACTCAATTATTACCCCTAATCAAGTACTCATTACCTGTATAAAAGAAACCAGTTCACAGAATCCTTCAATGAATCAGAATCTAATCTCTCCACAATGGGCAAGACAAAAGAATTGTCTAAGGACATCAGGGACAAAATTGTATACCTGCGCAAGACTGGAATGGGCTACAAGATGATTGGCAGGCAGCTAATTGAGAAGGAGTCAACTGTTGGTGCAATAATAAGAAAATGGAAGAAACACCAATTGCCTATCAATCTCTCTTGGTCTGGAGCTCCATGCAATATCTTCCAACGCGGAGAGTGAACCTGATGATGAGAAAGGTGAGGAATCAATCCAGAACTACGCGGCAAGAGTTTGTTGATGAACTCACGGCAGCTAGGGTACAGTCATCAAGATGACCATTAATAACACACCACGTCAAAGTGGATTGAAATCATGTAGTGCCCGCAAGCTTCCCCTATTCAAGAAGGTACATGTACAAGCCCGTAAGAAGTTTGCAAATAAGCACCTGGATGATTCAGAGAAGGGTTGGGAGAAAGTGCTGTGGTCAGACGAGGCTAAAATTGAGCTTTTTGGTATCAATTCGACTTGCCGGGTTTGGAGGGAAAAAACTGACTTGGACCTCAAGAACACCATCCCAAACATGAAGCATGGCGGTGGAAACATTATGCTTTGCGGCTGTTTTTCTGCTAAGGGGACAGGACAACTACACTGGGTCGAGGGAAAGATGGATGGGGTCAAGTACAGGAAAATCTTAAGTGAAAACCTCCTTACCTCAGCCAGGACACTGAAGATGGGTCATGGATGGGTGTTCCATGATGACAATGATCCAAAGCATATGGCTAAAACAACAAAGGATTGGCTCAAGAAGAAGGATATTAAGGCCTAGTCAGTCTCCAGATCATAAGCTTTTAGAGAATCTGTGGAGGGAGCTGAAGCTTCGAGTTGCCCTATGACAACCTACAAACCTTAAGGATTTAGAGAGGATCTGCAATGAGGAGTGGGCCAAAATTCACCCTAGGATCTGTAAAAATTTGTTAACCAACTACAGGAAATATCAGGCTGCTGTGCTTGCCAACAAGGGTTTCTTCACTAAATACTGAGTTATGTTTTGCTATGGGGTGAAATATTTATTTTTTCAATAAAAAAGAAATAAATGTGAAAAATTAATATAATGTAATTTTCTCGAATTATTTTTATATTCTATCTCTCACTTTAAAGATGGACCTGCCCTGAAAATTATAGAACGTTCCTATTTTTGTAAGGTGGCAAACTCAGAAAATCAGCAGGGAATGAAATACTTATTTTCCCCACTGTAGACCACAGAAATAAATATTTGATTAACGCAATGTCCCATATAAATGAATAAATTCTTTTATTATTTTACATCTATTTATTTACCATATGATGAAAAGCTATCGAGTTATATAATAATATTTCCACCTTCAAATAAGTTATTGTAAATATTTCTTATAATAAGAGATATTAAGCAGAAAATAACCTTGCATTTAAATTAAATATGAATAAGACCTGAAGATTTTATGAACATCGACTAAACAAGATCAATTTTACTGTGAAAACATTGACTTGTATAATAAAATATAATATCCCCTACTCACAATAATATTTATCCAATCACAAAATTTAAATTCAAAGATATTTTTGAGCCAATCAAGTCAAAGAAATCACGTTTGAAGACAAAAGGTTTCTGGAGCTTATTTCGGAATTCACCAGACAATAAAACTGAAAACCAACTCATCTCTGAGTCAATCAACAACAAGATATTCATAACAGTTGTTCACTCATAAATCCTTCCGGTTGCAGACTTTCTTTTAAATATTCACCACAACATGGCCAAACTGCAAGTTTTTATCCAATAAAATTTATAATCCAATACGAGAAAAACGAGAAGACTTGAACATTTTCGCATATAACTACACAATAACTTATCCGTAACTCTCAATAACATACGAATTAAATAATATTGCATTATATTCCCAAAAATTATTCAGAGCAAAAATGTCAAAGTGACTCATACAAAAAATAAATCAAAAATGTTTGTTCATACCATATTTATTTCAACTCTATAAAGAAATGTTCTTTAAAAAAGTATTTGTACATTTCTTCTTCGATGCTTTTCCTCGCAAAATAAATTTATTGATAAACCTGCTTTTAAAACGTTATGTGGAGAAAGTGAAATAAAATCAATAAATAAAATAATAATAATGAATTTAAAAAAAAATCATTTTCCCATGATGCAAGCTATAAAGAAACCGGAAAGAGTTTCTGGTCATATGTACGATTTTATGACACTACTTCCGGAAATGACAGAATCTTTCTCTTTCTCCTTTTGGTTTCAAATGTGAACCACGTAGTAATAGCTTTTTCACTGTGGAAGGTTAGTTTTGCCATTCCACTGACGACTGAACTTTTTCCACTTACCAACATTGTCATACATATTTCAGCAGTGCTGCTCATGAAGTAGTGGGTCCGGTCTTCCCAACTCAGCCGCGATGCTGACTTGATCTCGGTCAGCTTTACCCGTTCGTATCTTTATTTACCATAAATTATTTCAGAACAGAAAAAAAAAGTCCGTGGCGGAAACTCAACATTTTGTATGTTCCTTCTATCTTCTTTGTTTATATATTGAACATGCACCATTCCCTAAGAAATACACACAAAACCCACAAGCTTGTTAACAGCCACAGTCTTACGCCCTTATTTTTCCTTCTCTCCCTTGAAGTTTGTCACTGAATCTTAACCGCAATGCTACTGTTTACACGGAAGAAATGGAAATTAAAAAAAAGGCCAGGAAAAACCGCAATATGTGTATAAGGTTCTTCTTATAGTTAAATAAGAAGGGATATTTGGACAGCAAGAATTCATCCAAAATTGGTTTTGTCATCTATTTCTTTTTACTTTATTTCCCCGATTTTTGAATGAGATGTTGTACATCGGGATCAAAATTGTGGATATAATGTCCAAAGTTCATGTTTTCTTCTATTTGGGTTCAAGTGCTGTCGACCATTTCAGTCATTTTCAATAACTGATTGTTGTCGGTGTGGAAGACAAGATTTTGGTAATTACATTCTGGCATTTTTTGCAGGGGGGAGGGGCGTAGGGATTCAAATTAATCTAAACATGTAAAAGTTACACGGAGCTAGACTACCGGAAAGGGACAAGGTATAAAAATGAGTAAAAAATCTTCTTTTTTTTTTTTGTAGAATAAAACAGGAATAAAATAGCAAAGCTGAAACAAAGGGGAGAATTTGCATTAAAAAAAGCAATATAGAAAAATAAAGAAGAAAACAATGCCGAAAGCAAAAAAGTACTATAGAAAAAGCAGAGGAAGCAATACCGAAAAAAAGCAACATCGAAAAAGAAGAAAGCAATATAGAGAAACAATGAAAAAAGTAACATCAAAAAAGAAGAAAGCAATATAGAGAAACAATAAAAAAGTAACATCAAAAAAGAAGAAAGCAATATAGAGAAACAATGAAAAAAGCAACATCAAAAAAGAAGAAAGCAATATAGAGAAACAATGAAAAAAGCAACATCAAAAAAGAAGAAAGCAATATAGAGAAACAATAAAAAAAGTAACATCAAAAAAGAAGAAAGCAATATAGAGAAACAAAGAGAAAAGTAATATCGACAAAAAAACTATATAGAGAGAAACAAAGAAAAAAGCAACATCGAAAAAGAAGAAAGCAATATAGAGAAACAATGAAAAAGTAACATAGAAAAAGAAGAAAGCAATGTAGAGAAACAATAAAAAAAGCTACATCGATAAAGGAGAAAGCAATATAGAGAAACATTGAAAAAAGTAACATCGTAAAAGAAGAAAGCAATATAGAGAAACAATAAAAAAGTAACATCAAAAAAGAAGAAAGCAATATAGAGAAACAATGAAAAAAGTAACATCATAAAAGAAGAAAGCAATATAGAGAAACAAAGAGAAAAGTAATATCGACAAAAAAACTATACAGAGAGAAACAAAGAAAAAGGCAACATCAAAAAAGAAAGCAATATAGAGAAACATTGAAAAAAGTAACATCGTAAAAGAAGAAAGCAATATAGAGAAACAAAGAAAAAAGCAACATCGAAAAAGAAGAACGCAATATAGAGAAACAATGAAAAAAGTAACATCATAAAAGAAGAAAGCAATATAGAGAAACAATGAAAAAAGCAACATTGAAAAAGAAAAAAAGCAATATAGAGAAACAATGAAAAAAAGTAACATCGAAAAAGAAGAAAGCAATATAGAGAAACAAAGAGAAAAGTAATATCGACAAAAAAACTATATAGAGAGAAACAAAGAAAAAGGCAACATCAAAAAAGAAAGCAATATAGAGAAACAATGAAAAAGTAACATCAAAAAAGAAGAAAGCAATATAGAGAAACAATGAAAAAAAGTAACATCGAAAAAGAAGAAAGCAATATAGAGAAACAAAGAAAAAAGTAACATCGAAAAAGAAGAAAGCAATATAGAGAAACAATGAAAAAAGCAACATCAAAAAAGAAGAAAGCAATATAGAGAAACAATAAAAAAAGTAACATCAAAAAAGAAGAAAGCAATATAGAGAAACAAAGAGAAAAGTAATATCGACAAAAAAACTATATAGAGAGAAACAAAGAAAAAAGCAACATCGAAAAAGAAAAAAGCAATATAGAGAAACAATGAAAAGTAACATAGAAAAAGAAGAAAGCAATGTAGAGAAACAATAAAAAAAGCTACATCGATAAAGGAGAAAGCAATATAGAGAAACATTGAAAAAAGTAACATCGTAAAAGAAGAAAGCAATATAGAGAAACAATAAAAAAGTAACATCAAAAAAGAAGAAAGCAATATAGAGAAACAAAGAGAAAAGTAATATCGGAAAAAAACTATATAGAGAGAAACAAAGAAAAAGGCAACATCAAAAAAGAAAGCAATATAAAGAAATAATGAAAAAGTAACATAGAAAAAGAAGAAAGCAATGTAGAGAAACAATGGAAAAAGTAACATCGTAAAAGAAGAAAGCAATATAGAGAAACAATGAAAAAAGCAACATCGAAAAAGAAGAAAGCAATATAGAGAATCAACGAAAAAAGCAACATCGAAAAAGGAGAAAGCAATATAGAGAAACAAAGAAAAAAGCAACATCGAAAAAGAAGAAAGCAATATAGAGAATCAACGAAAAAAAGCAACATCGAAAAAGAAGAAAGCAATATAGAGAATCAACGAAAAAAAGCAACATCGAAAAAGGACAAAGCAATATAGAGAATAAAAAAAGCAATATCGACAAAGAAAAAAGTAATATAGAGTAACAAAGAAAAATCAAAATCCATATAATGTTGACTATCTTAAATATGGACTCTTGTATCACCAGCAAATCACCAAGAGAAATTCAAATGAAGCCATAAAATCTTCCAGGCTTCTTGAAAATTTGAAGAAAATAGGCTCACAGATAACATAGAGAAAAACTTATCATATTTTCAGTCACTCGGAGAAAACTTTCAGAAAAGGAAAACGAATAGAAATATATTTGCACGCACTTCCTAACAATTCAGCGCTCGATTGCGTGCTTCATATTACACATCATTGCTGATTGCTTAGATCTGGTCAGAGCCTCACATAATTGGATAAGAGCTTATTCTGCCAGCAGTAAGTGAAGTTCTTCGCACAAATCACCTGAATAAATTATTAAATCTATTCCTCTCAGTGATAAATCTATTCAAAGAAAAGCGAATGAAATGGCTGAAAACATAAAAAGTACATTGTACAATAAGCTTAGGACGACATAATATGGCTTAACAGTTCGATGAGACCACTCAGAGATGAGGGAATGGTTCAAGACAACTAAAAGTAAATATAAAACAGGTATCAGTATTTTGTATTGGGTCAATTTAAAAAAAAAGTATCATGGTTACCAGCATTTGTACTTGGACAACATATGAGGGACCATAGATGACAGGTTTGGGATTCCTTTCACTGACTTATAGTCGGCGCGATTTTTGAAAACCTCATTCTTTTCCACACCAACTACCAGAGAGCCAACACACACTTTACCTCTAACAACACACAAAAATATGTTTGCTTTATGTACCTTATCACATTAGAAACTTCAACTAAGGATTGTGAGGTTGTGTACAAACCAAATCGTTCTTTACTTCCCGCCAACTCATAGTACAACTAAGGTCCAGAACTGAAGGCCCATTTCAAATCTTATTGTTCCACTAGGTGCGACAATTTTTGCTTTTGATTTGCACTTTTAGTTTTTGGCTTAGTTTGCTACTGTACTCGGCCTGTAAGATTTTTTTTTTTTTGCTTTTTATACTTTAAATTTAGCATATTTAATTTAATTAATTATAAGATTTATTTATTTTATTTTCTCTGGACTAGCTATATTATTGTATGTTTATTTCATTAAAATATATAATTTAGAAATCTTGGTCTTGTTACTTAGCAGTTAATTTAATATTTTTCACTTAAATATTAATTTAATATTCTTCTTTATAATTTTTTATTCAAATGCACTAATGATCAACATTATTTATTTGTACTAATTTATGGTTACCCTTTCACGCCAGAAAAACAAGATTTCTAGCCAAAACTTCGTAGATTCTAAAAAAGATTAAAAAAAATAATTTCCATATAAATTTTTTTTGATTTTTCCTCTTAATAATAACAAAAGATTTTGACGAGAAAACTTTGTTTTATTAAGTTTTGTTTTCATCATGTATGCTCATAAGTTTTCTTGGGATTGATAGCAGTCTGGTTTATATGGCAATGAATGTTGAACAATCTTCCCACAGATGAAGAAGAAATCTGGTTCTACAGAAGGATGCTGAGAACATGTGAGCAACGATGAAGTTTTAGAGAAAATGGAAACACAAAGGATATTTATACTTAACATCAGGAAGAGAGAGTTCAAAATTTCTAAGGCACATAATGAGGAAAGAGGGCTTGGAAAATTTAATACTCACATGACATACTGAATAAGATGGACAAAAGAAAACAACCCATAACCTACCAAACGAGCTTAAGTAAATAGATGGCGGAACAAGGTTTAGGGGAGTTAACAAAAAGACAAAATTTATTAAGAGCTACAAAGGACAAGAAATTGTGGAGAGCCATGACCGTCAACATCCTGAAGGGACACAGAAGAAGATGTTCATTATTTAGCGAATCTTTGGAAGTACCTATATTTACATATTTATTTCGCATTATTTAGGCTGATTGAACCAATCGTAAATATATGGGAAACCTTTTAGAAATAATTTTTGTTGTTTAATGTTCTTTAGACCTTTCTTGAGATGTGACAAATATTGATTTTTTAACGATTTAGTTGGGCCTTCTGTTCCAGTCAAGTTCATTACAGTCACTTTCTCGTAAATACCCTTGGGGAAAGGTATGAATCCATTTCTTCTCCCCCAGTTATCGATTGAATAGTAAACCAGAATGCGGTAATTCATCATTGGTTGGTAACCAGTCTAGAAGGACAACTCTGAAATCAAATTGGCAATTGAGTTTACAAGTCTATTCCATAAAAACCTACTTGCTCCGGAAGCTACATCAGCAATGCCTAGTAAAGTATTAAGAAACAAGTAAATTCTTTAAAAGCAAAGAAAAAAGAAAAAAGTGCTGAAATGTTATGTAATCTCAATCCTCCTAGTAGTAAATGTTGGACAATTTCTTTACAGTTGAAGAAGCGACTTGAGACAGCAGAAATGTGGTTGTACAGAAGGATGCTGAGAATGTATGAAGAATGTGAGCAACAAGGAGTGTTTAAGGAAAATGGAAACAAAAAGAAGGATTATACTTAGAATAAAAAAAAAGAAACTTACGAGGTATGTAATGAGGAAAGCTGTCTTTGATACACTGAAGTTAAGAGGGTGTGGCCTTATAATCTACAGAGAAGTCTATGAGACTTGAGACACTGGATGAGCTGAATAGTCCCATATTAAATAGATTTTGGAATTTATTTTGCTTAAAATTCTAGACGATGTGGTCAATCCATTCCTAGATATCAACAGTGAAGAAACATGATTGGTTAAAGTCCGCTTCTAAATGACATTGAATTGAGACCAACATTCAAACAATGATATCAAGTTTGTTGGTTGCAAAAATATTTATGTCTATTATCCTGAACTCTGGCAAAGATATATTTTATTGCCTTCCCAAGTTCATATTTAGTAGAACGGAGCTTCAGTGCTGCAGTCGACCAGCTTCATTCCAAGCAAAGAAACAAACTGAACATTACCGAACGCAGGGATCTAAGACTTAATGCTTTCCAGCTTTCTGTTGAAAAGGCAATTGATATCCCATTAAAACTATGAAGACAACGCAGTTACAATCAAGATGTAAATTTATCCTTTTCTATTGCTATATAATTGGTTTAATATGTTTTGTTTTCTTTGTGAAATACATACAAATGTTTAAAGGGTTGGATCATTTTTTTTTAAATTTACACGTGACCTAAAAATAATATGACAATGTCAGAATACTCCAAAACGTTTACGAAGCCTCTGTAAAAAAAATACAACCGTGAAACAATAATAATTGGAGAGAGATATTTAAAAACACATATCGTATATTTCCGCTATAAGGCGACCTTTAGATAAGACGAGGTTAAAAAATATAGCAAATTTTCAAGAATTTATCCTATACCGGTAGTAAAGGACGACTGCTTATGATGTTATTGGAAATGTTGTTACTTACTGTAGCCTTAGAAATTCAAAATAAACAAAATAACAAAACCACACGTGATTTCTTGCGAATATTGATTCTTCTCCCTCTTCTTTTCCTAAACAGTTACAAACAGCTCGGTATAAGAATAGCCATTTACTTATACTTTATCGACAATCACCAAATACCGCTAATAACAGTACGATAATGTACAATAATAGTACATTCCACTTTCAACAGTTTTTAAAATGATGTTATCCTAAATGTTATTACTGCTGTAATTAATACTACCATGGTGATTATTGAAAGTTTTAGCGAAAGATAAAGGTTGCTGTGAACGCAATCATAACTCAATGTTTACATTTTCTCAGCCCAGATTGCATGGATACATTTGTGCTAACCAACACCACCATTACATACGCACAGTATATAGAAATCATGCGACAAGCATTCATTGATTGATCTCCTCAAAACTAGCTCGCTGATTAGTCAGTTCTGATCAATCAAACCGCCTGCACGCGACAAATCTGTTTTCCCGCGTTTTCGATCTGAGCCGGTCATGTGATACACGA